ACATGAGTGAGAGAAACAGTGGATGTGTGTGGCAGTTTCTGACCAGGGTGTCTCTGTGTTTGCAGGTGTCCAGTGTGAGGTGCAGCTGGTGGAGTCTGGGGGAGGCTTGGTCCAGCCTGGGGGGTCCCTGAGACTCTCCTGTGTGGCCTCTGGATTCACCTTCAGCAGCTATGGCATGCACTGGGCCCGCCAGGCTCCAGGAAAGGGGCTGGAGTGGGTCTCAGCTATTAGTAGCAGTGGTAGTTACACATACTACGCAGACTCCGTGAAGGGCCGATTCACCATCTCCAGAGACAACGCCAAGAACTCGCTGTGTCTATAGGCGGCCTGAGAGCCGAGGACACGGCCATGTATTACTGTGCAAAAGACACACAGTGAGGGGAGGCCCGTGTGAGCCCGGACACAAACCTCCTGCAGGGGGCCCCGAGACCACCAGGGGGCGCCCGGACGCAGTGCACGGGGCTGTCTCGGGGCAGGTGCAGGTGCTGCTAAGGGCTGGCTTCCTGCCACGGTCTGGGGCTGCCTGGTCACATTTCCCCAGGGAACCTCCCAGATTTACAATTCTGTCCTAACATCTGATGTCTCTAAAGGCAAAACTTCTTTTCCTTTCTCTTTGTTTTTGTAACAGGAGGACACATTCTCACCTCTCCAGAAGCCACAGTGTCACCTTAGGGGCAGAAATAATCCTTTCCTGGTCAACAGGATGAGAGCCCTGAGGAGTCGCATGGAAACATGGGGAGTGTTTTCCAATTAGACTCAGGACAGAGACCTCCATGGGAATCTCTGATTAGAACAGGCTTTGAGTTCTGACAGGAGCCAAGTGAGAGGCTCACCCAGGGTCAGGACTTAAAAACTAACGTTTTTCACAGCTATCCCCTCTCATCTTGTAAAACTGTGACCATCTCACTCAGACTGATTCCGTTGACCCTCTTTCTGCTAATCCATTTTCCTTCTCTGTAGACTTGATTCTCATGGTTCCCTTTCTTCTTCTCTTCCCTGAAAATAGAGGATGTGTTTTCTGTAGTGAAAATCCCAGGGCTCAGGTCTGCAGAACCTGGGTAGGCTGGGGGACTGTCTCGCTCACCATTGCCTGGACACTCCTGCTGTCTTCGGTGAAGTGGAGGCATTTGGGAAATGAAGTGGACATTAGCCATGAAGGGAATAGTGCTAGTTTTCTCTAATGGGATATTGAGGTAGAGCTGATCTTGGCCTTTTCACGCTGTCACAGAGTTTTCACTCTCACCTGTGACTTTGAGGAGAAATGAGGATGGACCTTCCATTTTGCTGGGAGCTCTGGGTGGCGGTAACTGTAGGGCCTGGCTAGGATGCCTAATTTCGATACTGCTGGCCATTGAGAATGACAGGTTAGAATTCCCAATTGTGAAATAACCTTAAAAATGGACAACCAGCGTCCCATGCCACTGCTCTGCCTATGGAGCGGCCATTCTTTACTCTCTTACTTTAATGTAAAGTGGCTTTCATTTTACTCTGTGCATTGGCCTGGAATTAGGACCCCTTTCTGGTAACATTTGTGTTATTATTGATTTTCTCAGCTAAAATCTCCAAGACAGAATGAAGTTTCCCTGAATTTTTGTAGGAATTACATTCATCCCTTTGAGAGAAAATGCACAGGGGGTGGAATGAGGCTTTAAAGCTGATGGCATATGAGGGAAGCCTGTCCCTGAGTGAAGGAGAGAGGGAGGGAGGATTGGGTGGAAGGTTCCTGTATTTCTGTGCTGTGCAAGGAAGGTGCAAAATATAATTGAACTTTGTGCAAGTCAGTGCTACCTCTCAGGGGACCCCCAGGACTCCCAGAAATGGCTCTGCTTACAAATCACTGAGGAGTCAGTGCTTCCATTAGAGTAGGCCACATGACATGAGCTTCGGCCCATGCCATGCCACAGACGTCAGAAAGCAGCTGCTGGGACCCAGATCCACGTGCATTTTGCTGCCTGTAGGAGGAGGCAGGGAGGTCCATTTCAGGGTCAACACACTGTTTGTGGATTTTTGTAGTGAACACCTGCTTTTACTGTGTTTTATTAGAAAATATATGAACAAATGTGGATCTGCAAACAATTGTGATTTTCACATTTACTTCAATTGCATTATTTCTTAATTTTGCAAGATGTCCTGGCACAGAGTTGAATTTTTCATAGTAATTGTTCAAAGGATCGAGAACATGCATTTTCCACTCTCACTGGTTTTTCTCCATGTGCAGAGACCTTGAGTAGAGCATGTCTGGCCCTTATCCTCACTGTCTGTATCTCTAGTGTCCCCCAGAAAACAGCAGAGATTTGCCTGACTGCAGAATCTGGGGTAGGAGTCTGCACACCTCGAGCCTGCAGAGAAGCCCAGGGAAGTTTTATGGAGTCAAAGAAATATCCCCTGTGGGGGAACCTCTACCTTCCCCACTGCCAGAGATTGCTGCTCTGCTATAATTGCGGGGTTTATCATTGGAGCACCTGGTAGCCTATCTCAACACAGTCTCTTTATGCAACTTACCACCATTAGACTGCAGGTAATTATGCAATCTTGATTTTTCTGACCCTATTTTCTCATCTTATTTATTTGTAAGTTTGGTTATAGAAAATGTTATCTTTTAGTTTATACTTAATACCTCAGAATTTTCTGAACTTATCAGGAATAATACAAAACATGTCCAGTTTGGGGAAAATGTAAATGAATGTCCGTGCAGTGTGCGTGTGTGTGTGTGTGTGCGCACACACGTGTGTGAATATGAGTAACATAAAACTTACAACCCAGTGAACATTGCTGCTGAATTATATAGTCAATGTACAATTAGATTTGCTGAAAATTGCCTGCAGTAATCTCTGTGAAGCTGACGCTGTCACCTTGCTGTGAGGATGCTCAGTGCACAGGTGAGGTCTCACAGGAGAGATCCAAGGTGCAGCCCCCAGTACCGGCAGAGCTCCTGGCCTGCAGCCAGACATAGAACTGGGCGTCTCAGAAGCAGATCCTCCAGCCTTCCCTTAGCTGGGCTGCCTGGGCAGAAGAGGGCCAGCAGGAGGTGCACAGAACCCACCCAAGGCAGAGCCCCAGTGAGGAGCAGATGCAGAGAGGAACCAGCCAGGGCACGTATGTGACCACAATCCAGGGTTGTCTTCTTTTGCTTAACAGCATCCAACCCTAAGGAGACCACCCACTATGTCATGTTACTCATAACTTTCTTGTTCCGAACAAAACAGAAGTAAACGTTACTCTGCATTAAACTCATTGAATTTGTGTTATTTTTTTGAGAACACCATCATCTTTAATATGATGGCTGTCAGGTCAAAATCAACGCACATATTTAGTCACCATGAAGATTGTTTTATCTCATGGTAAAAATGTTTATTTAATTAAAATCACATTTAATGGGAAAAGACCTGTATTAGTTCGTCTTCACACTGCTGTAAAGATACCACCTGAGACTGGGTAATTTGTAAAGGAAAGAGATTTAATTGACTCAGAGTTCTGTATGGCTGTGGAGCCTCAGGAAACTTACAATCATGGTGGAAGGCAAAGGGGAAGCACGTACCTTCTCCACAAGGCACCAGGACAAAGAGAGAGAGAGGAGAAGAAGGAGAAAGAGCCAAAAACTTATCAAACAACCAGATCTCCTGAGAACTCTATCAGAACAGCCTGGAGGAAACAAATCCCACAATCTGATCACCTCCCACCAGACCCCTCACCTGACACTTGGGGTTTACAATTCAAGATAAGCTTTGGGTGAAAACACAGATCCAAAGCAGGTAAGAATCTCTAGGTGAGAATTGATCAATTAATAAGTTATTAGTGAAGTATCAGAAGAATAAATGGCACCAGTGTGGTAGTTATCCAGTGAATGTATAAATCATCTCAATATTCATTTTGTGAGAGGTCTAGGACAAGTGTGAGATGGAGAGATAGATAGACAAACAATTCTACCAAATACTATCACATATATATAGTATAGAAATATAATTTTATATACTATTTGATAGAATTAATATCATCATACCTAATATTATATATAGATGTATACATATTAAAGCATTTG